TGGTAAGATTTTAGGAACTTCGTTTTCGAGGTCATGAATATTCGATTATGTATTTTACATATACTAAGAGCTTGTTTTCTTTTTAATTTTTTAATTTATTAAAAAAAAATTACGCTTTTGAGTTCTCTTGAAAAACTTAAGCAAGCTTAGTATAACTAGTACTTGGTATATAATGTTTAGTATAAGTATCTGCGCACGAGTTTTTGTGAAAGACAAAACCAAGACTGATCTATGGTTTTTTAATTTATTTATTTGTCCGTAGTGAAATAATGATGGCTAAATAAGTAAAACCTGATCCATGATTCTCCACTGCTGCTGCTTCTTCATCCTACTCCTCCTACCCTTTCATATTTATTTGTTTATTTGCAACCAAGTTTTAATAGAGAACACAACAGGCTTTCAGGGCTTTTCTTTTCTGGTGTTGGAGTATTCATGTTGTTCTTGCCGTAGCAATATTCAAGCCAAAACTCGGATACCGAGAAGCTCTATATAGTCTCGATTTCCAGGAAGCCGATCCGTGATGGAGGCTGGCTAGGGTTTTATACTTTGACATAAATTGTTTGCAGGCTTCAAGTTTCTGTGGATATTGACTCCTTTCCGACTTCGTTCAAGTCACGGTCTCGTCGCTTTCTTTCCCTCAGTTCTGTGTTTTTCAATTATTTCTTCATCATCATCATCATCGTTATCTCTCTAACAAAAGCAAATGTGATGCAATTAATAATTCTAATATTTTCATGCAAATGCAATTTAAGTAATTAATTAATTAAAATTTTCAATTCGAATGGATTATGATGGTGAGGTTGACATAAAAAATTGAAATGTAGCTATCCCTTCTCCGTCGAGATGCAATAGAGATGATCATGCGGTTGGCCATTACTGGTCAAATGTAGGGTTGGGATGAATTGATTTAGGGTTGAGTGCGAGTGTTAAGAAATTTGATCTAACTTTAGGGTACAGGGCGTGTCTAAACTTTATGGGAACAAAGGAACCAAATCATCTGTTATCATCCTCATGATATTATTACATATCTAATATAAATAATCATCTTCACAACAAGGCGGACAATGTGCTTCAACAGAAACACCCACCTCTCTACAGGTTTTTGGAGTTTAATCACTTCATTTCATCATCTTGTGTAAAAGATCTTGTTTTGTATATAAAAAATATATACAGTCTTCTTTGCAATATAGATATTTCTATTTTCCACCACAATTTTCTTTTATGTGAATAGATATTTCAATCCAAAGTCATTTTGGCAAGAGGTAATTTCGGATCATTTTTTTTTATATTTAAATATGTTGAGAGAAGTTTAAAACTTACTTAATAGACAACAATAAGAAAGTTAATATTCATGAATATTTTGATTTCAAACTTTTCAAGTTAGCCATGTATTCTTATTTTTGAGAGATGAAGATGACAGATTAATCTTGATCAACAATTTTGTCTTTTTTTTTTTTTTTTTTTTTCTCCCCTTGTAATTGAATAGAATTAGCATGTTGGCATAGGAAGGAGGAGGGAGGGCGGAAGAAAATAAAAAAAAAAAGTAAGTTCTATTGCATGCCCCATGGTTAAGTGAATTCAGTATGCTTCATTAATTGTTTACGCAAAGCTCTATTAATCCATTTGCCATATATCCAAGGTTCGTCTTTGTCATTTATTTATTTTAAATAAACCTTTTTTTTGGGGTGGGGGGGGGGGGGGGGATCGATTTCTGTTTGGAATTTCTGAATGTGTGATGGAAATGTCATGATGCAGTGGAACACACGCATATGGATTGGAGGGATCCCAGGAATTAATTTATAAAAAATAATAATCATATTGATTAATTGTTGGAGAATAACGTTAATTATCCAATCATATTTGTTTTTGTCTCACACTTGAGTGGTGTGTAGAGGGTTCCCAAATCCACGCTGGACTCCCGAAAGGTCTTACCTCGATGCAATATTGGAATTATTTATAGTAAGCTAAGCTATATTACCAAAAACAAAAGGTGTAAGCTTAACTTAGTTAGGTCAAATAGAAGGTAGAAGGTGGAGTTTTTGGGGCTTTCAATATATATATATGTGTGTGTGTGTGTATGTATGGCAGCTGGAGAGGTGGAGAATTGAGGGAAAAAATACTTTTATTCCTAATTCCTATGTACGGTAACATTTTAGATATGGAAACATGTGGGAAGTAGTAGTAGTTTAAAGTTAGATGGGTTGGGAGTAAGATTTTAGATAGATTAATTATATAATCACAGTTACATGGACATATCTTTCAAAGCTATATATATATAGTAGGTCCGGAGAACCTGGCAGGACTTGAATTTCCTTGTCGTGACAGTGGACCTCATAGATCAGAGGATGGTTTTCGATGACATATATAGGCATCAGACCAACTACAGGGATGACTTTAATCTCCCATTTATTTCATTCTTATTCTCTGAATTTTGGACACACCTTAGAGGAATATATGTCCGACGGATGAAAAATGATTTGCCTCTTAATTTGAATATTGCTTCAGAAACAATATACTAGCATATTTATATCTACACAATCAGTTAAAATTTCTAATTTCAGGTTAATTTGCTTATTTCTTGACACTTAATAATTAACTTTCATATTTTTATTTAAATTAAAAAAAACTAAACTAAACTAAACTTAATTGAGAGTCATGTCTTTCATTTGCAACAAATTATTACAGTTTAATTTGAACTCAACTTTAATATAATGTTGTAGGTTATGTTTGTTGGATCTAATTTCTAATAACCATAGGACAATTGGTGCAATAAGTCACCGATTTATACCTTCAATCCAAAAAAAAAAAAAAAAAGGAAAATCTTATTAGGTAAAATATGACCCTTACTTATGAGTCAAAGATCCACCTCATCCCCTTTTGATGTAAGATTTGTGACATTCTTCAATATCCAATTGTACGACTCTTGTATCAACTCTTTCTTTCATAGAATAAAGAAATCCACTTTGGTCTAGACATACCTCAACCCTAATAACTCTTATTTAGTTATATGCCCAACACTTACCCATCTTACTCTTTCAAATGCGAGATCCGTACACGTTGCTACAAAGTATAAAAGCCACAAGACCACAATTTTTTTTTTTAATCTTTGCAAATAATTCAATGTAGAAATTAGTTTCAGAGGAAAAGACCAATCCAACAAAAAGGTCAAGTTTCCGAGGCAATTTCAAGTTTCAAAGCGGGAGATGGGAAGGGGGATATATGGGGTAGCTCCATGGGCGTTTTCTTCTTCTCTCAGCTTTGTACCCTGACAAGTGGCGGCTATGTTGCAGCTGATCCATATTGAATCCTCTTAATTCACAAAGCAGATAGAAGCATAACAGACGCCTTACTTTTAGCTGCTCTGCCCGTCTTTAATTTCTCGCCCCCTCTAAATTCAAGTATGAGCCAAGAGCCATTAATTGCTTGTTCTTGTGGTATAACATAGGACCCATCCTCGACAAAAAAACAAAAATATCAGTTCATGAATTGAAACTCGTAATGATTTTGATAGCCAAAAGCAAGAAATAAAATTTATGGAAAGTATTATTTTGCTCTCTCTCTCTCTCTCCATACATTTAACCACGACCTTACTTTGTTTTCCTTTTTTTAATAAAAACCATGACCAGCTTGTTTATAGTATACAATTGGTATAATATATTTTGACCATTTATATTTTGTAACATGCCAAAGGAATTGCCTTGTTCAAAACAAAATATAATAATAGCGCTCATGGATGAATTGGAAATTATTTATGGAGTAACATATATTTTTTTTATTTAACTTTGTTTAGAAGAAGAAAAGAAATAAAAGACATTAACCTCATATTAATGCTTGTTAAGAAAAACCATGAATCTTTATTCAAACACAAAAAGAAAAAAAAAAGGGAAAACCATGAATCTGAACACAAAATCGATCTCCTTTTTACAGCTTCGTTTAGGTGCGCGTCCACATCTCTCCTGATCTCTGCGTCCCTCTCCATTTTGTTGCGTTATAGTACGACTAGGTTTCCTAGGTACTATTTTTGCATGGCTAGGGTTTTCCCAGCTCGTTAACCCTTCACGCACGCCTCATGGATGGCGAGGCATTTGAAAAGGCGACCAACCACATTAGTGGAAATTAGAGTCGCCAAGTTCCAGACCTCCAGCAGTGCCAGTGGTATGTGTAAGAGCACATGAATCTCATTCCTTGGGAGTTTCTATGGCCAAAACCCTTTGGTGTTCTCCTTCAATGTGGGCTTTGTTGGTGACCATTTTGATCACCCGGACTGTTGGCTTTCTTTTCAATCCTCTCATACAGCCTAAGGTGGTTTCTGAGTCAATTGTGAGTATCTTTTCCATATTTCCTTCTTTCTTATTTTTGGTTTTGGGATTATATTTTCTTCTTCATGATGATTAATATTACTAGTTTACTACTAAATTATTTTTTCGTCTCCTTTGATGATTAAATCATTTTAAGGGCGAACCGTCACTTTGGGCCAGAGCAAGAGCTTTGCCAATAATAATGGAGTGTTTCCCCATATATAATTCCCATTTCGTACTAATAATGAGTGACGGACTTTACTTGAGAAAATATTAATGTAAGTATAAGCTTGCATTTGATATAATCAATTACATACAACTTGAATCAGTACATGCATTTTTGTTGAGATTTATATATGTCTAGCTTTACACACCGGCATTGTGATTTGTGGTGAGTTGTAGGTAGGTAGATTAACCATGTATGCATATTGAATATGAATTCATGGAACATGTATGTATGTATGTATGTATGTATGTATGTATGTACCAATGCAGTTTACCCCACTTTAAGCATAATTAATAATTAATGGGCTGAAATAGCTATCAACTCAACTCCACACAAACTCATCTTTTCTGCCATTAATAATAATTACTTATATAGGAATAGGAGCTGCCTCTACCTTCTTTCTTTCTTTCTTTGGATAAATGTTGGAGAGGAGAATGTTAAGGCTCCATTGGCATATGTACATAAATCATTAAATTTAGAATTAAAAATACTTCTTCAGTGGAGTTTGAGCCCGTTAAAATAACAAATGGCTTCAGCCCATGATTCTTTACTAGGCTTTTCTGCTCCACCCCTATTTATGATATCTAAACCCATCCAATTGAATCCACAAACTATCACTCCTCCTCATCTCTTGTTTCCGTCGTTGGCTACCACTTCCCCTCTGGCTCACTCTTTCTCTTTCTTTTACCGAAATAAAGTTTTCTTGCCTTAAAAAGGATTTTGTCTTAATTACCTTTTCAGCTATGGATGACGACAATTCCAACGCGGTTCGGAGAATGTCCAGCCGTACTCGTAAAGTGGCTCCTAAAATGGCTGCAGCACTTGGCAGTTCTGATAATCGAACTCAGGTTTCTTCTTCTTCTTTAAAATTTTAATTATCTTTTTGTATTTTTATATTTTTGCCGTGAAACATTGGGAATTAATTTGTGGGATTTTTAAATTGTGGAAAAAAAAAGGCAGCTTTGGCTCGTCTTGAAGCTTTGGAGAATGATAACGCAGGGATTGAAACAATTGAAATGAACGATGATGATGAAGCTTCTCTTGATGACGAAGATCAAGGTTTTTTTTTTCTTTTATTTTATCTCTTTTTCCTTTTATGTAGAAGTTTATGGAATCATATCTATTTAGGACAAAAGGGTATTGATAATATCTAACGCTTGACATTGCAAACAAAAAGTTCAGTGCTTTGGTAATTGAATTTCTTATTGATGAGGTTAAGCAATGTTAATTAGGAAGAACTTTGTTTAAAGATCATAAAACTACCAGAGAAAATGAAAATATGAATTATGTTTGGGTCTTAAACTGTTTTAGAGTAAGATTTATGATGTCACTGATAACATCCTGGTCTATGCATATATTTTCAGAGATTGCGTTTGTTCATAGCCTTATGATATCCATGGTGATCGTGACTCATACTTATAGTCATAGATATAATAGCTTTTCTCAAGAGGGTTTTTGGCTAGAAGTTACAGCATGACTAATCTTTCTGCCTTGGTTTTCTATATCAACTTTTTCGATATACTTATTTCTTGTGCTAATTCTTTTATGGTTTCTTCATTGTGAATTTTGAACTACTATAAGCATAAAAGAAAAGACTACTATATATTTGTTGCTTCACAGTAGTTTGGCAGTATCTCATATGTTTTCTACCTTCAAGACCTGCTTTATTCAACCAATCAAAAAAAGCGCAGTAGGAAATCTAACCATCTTTCAAATTTCTCTTCTTACGCTAGTTTTAGGTAGCTGGTTTATTAGCTTCAAAACATTTTTGTTACCTTGTTTTTCTTGTTTTAAAACTTGGTTTTTTCTTTCTCTTTTCCATTTTTTAACTTGTAATTGCAGCGTACATGCAAAAGAAGTCCAAGGGCACCAAGCGCAAAACTCGACAGGCAAAAGCGCTTGAAAATGCTAGGAAGGCTCCGAGAACGTTTCTTGAGCTCTTAAATGAGGTAAAAAAGGGTAATGTTGTTTCTATTCATCCTGATTTTATTGCCTCACTTGAGGAACTAAATAATTCCTCTTCCGAAGGCAAACTTGGAGTCTTTGCCTCCTAATGTTCCATCCTATTTGAGGGCAGCAGTGGGACCTCCAAGCTCTACCTCCCGCCGGCATTTCTGCAGCGTTTGTGGGTTTACTGCAAGCTATACATGTGTCACGTGTGGGATGCGCTTTTGTTCATGCCGTTGCCAAAATGTACATATCGATACTCGATGCATGAAATTTGTTACTTGAGTGATGAGAAAGGAACCAGAAAATTTTGTTCACGTGGCAAAACTCATCATATGCCAAAAGTATTCTATGTAGATACTGTTACAAAATTTTCAAATGTAGTCTTAACAAATGAAGGCTTTCTGTGCCACTGTTTCTTGGTAGAGTTTGTAAAGCAAGGGCAAAGGTGAAATAAGAGGAAGAAACCTTTTCTGTCCTGTTCAAGATTGATTCTCTTGTTGTACTCAGATCCCGACGGCGTGTGTCCAGGCCAGGTTGCTTAGGTTGCTTCTCAGTGCATCATACTGCTGATCAACAATAAAAAGAGATAAAAGTTAAATCAAGAGAGGAGCTAAATTCTCTTTATAAGTCAAAGCAGTTGAAGAATTAATTGCCAACTATAAGTTCCCAGTCATGTAATTTGTCCCCTCAGTCAGAACCTAGTCATAAAGAAAAAACGATTCAAAAAATTTTGGTTGTATTCTTTGTGTTGTTCGTATTCACGGCAAGGAAGATGTAGGCTGCAACATGCCAATGCAACGTCTTCACACCTGAGCCATCTGCTGCTTCAAAGTTTGTAATGACTTTATTTTTGATTCACAAATACACCAAATGCAGAGAGTACTGTACACTGTCCGGTTACTATTTTTCTTGCAACATCAACAGGACTCCAAGACCTTAATGCTTGGGAGATCCGATTTCCAAGTTTTGTCTCATTTGTGGAACATACCAATGTTTCCAAACGATGGAAAACCCGTCCAGGTCCTTCATCCTGTCCATTTCTCTGAAGAGAGGACAACAAAATTTCCATCTTATTGTCCTCTGCGCAGTCGATTTGATCTTGTGACCATTTTGCAACCTCATCTATTATGCCACATAAAGACTGTATAGCATCCCGAATAGCATGAGATAACGAAGAGATAGACTGATCTATAGATCCACTCTTCTTCTTCTTCTTTCCAGATGGAAGACACGATCTGACACAAGACTGAATTATAAGGCCATGCCAAGCCAATGGTTCAGTAACCAGTTGAACCAATATAGGTAAATCACCCTGCGGAGAGTGAATCAGAGGCCCCATGGATCTGACCTTTCCCAAAATGTAGTTTTCCAGCAGAGAATTTACAAGATGACAACTACCAGGAGTACATTCACCTCCATGTTGTCCAAACTCGTAAGAATTCAAGTTCCATGCGTTAAAAAATACAGCAAAGTTCATCCAGTCAAATCACTTCTGAACCAAAGCCTGTATAAACCTAAGAATTAATTTTGCAGAAGGTAATTAACATCATATGATACTTAAGCAGTGTTTGCATCAATATCTACCAAGCAAATCTAGGAAAAGAGCAATCACCAACCTTTTGGTAATATCAATAAAGGCATATAGGAATATGTTGTACTAGTAAGGAGAAAAATGTAAACCCTAACACGCCCCCAATTGTCACACTTTCAGCAACATGCAAACAAAAGACAATGTGATTAAATATTCAAATTACCTAATTTTACCTACTTCCTAACATGTATTGACTTCTGTGGAACAATGCTTAAATCTTTACATCTGTACGATCAAAACATAGCTTGACAAGCACAACAATACTCAGTACATGATCTCATCAACCAGCATATTAAACTGTATAACCAAATACAAGACCTTGCAACAATTAAAATGCATGACTATAAATTAATTGAGGATATGCATACAGTCATGTAGGTACCTCATAAGATTTTAGACCACAGGAAACTCCCACAACCACATCAATTGCATCATTTAAGGAAAATCCCAATATTTTTGCATAGCGTTCAAGCAAAGTCTTAAGTTCTGAGGACAATTTAGGATCAGCTCAAGAACCATCGATTTCACTGTTATCCTTGTGTAAGACTGATGCACTTTGAATAGACAAATATATCATCCGAGGAAGAAGAGACTTCCTCTCAATGATTCCCCGTACATTTGCTTCCCTTTCTTTTGTCTAAATTTGATCAACAATAAAGAAACTCAAAATTAGATTACCAATGAGAAAGGCAGAAGATGACAGGCATAATAGACATGAGAAAACCATGGAAAATAAATTCTTTCTACAACAAATATTATACACAAACTACGAATCTACAAGAAATTGGGAGCAGAGTTTAGTACCAAGTTTTCTTTAGGATAGTAGGAGATTCCTTCAAATGGACCTGAAGCAGCAAAAGTTTCAAAATGGTTCATGGGATATAACGAGGGGAATAGATCAGGGATTAAAAAGGAAGACCTCAAAAAATCTAGACAAGATAATTCACAATAAACCAACCAGGTACCATGCTGAATGTTATACGGACCTAAAAGGTAGTTTTTCTCTGTAGATGGTGTCCACCAAGGTTGTGACTGGAAATCTTCATTGAAGGTCAGCAGTTTCGATCCAATCTCATTAGAGAGCTCTACAAAGTCAATCCCACATTTCAAGCTCTCGAGAATATGCTAGAAGAGTAAATATTAATGTTATATGCATTCTACAATACAGCAAAACATCATAGGTGTTAATTACTTGAGAATTTCAAAGACACTACCTCTTCTTCTTCAATGTTGTCTGCATTCTGTTTTAGCTGTAGAATTGGTGCTTCTACCCTTGCCACCAAATATTGATTGGAATGTTGTAACTGCTCTTTGAACTGAACAAATTCTATTACCTGGAGTACAAGGTAACAATTACTCCTCAGTTCACATAATCAGGACCTAAATCTCATTCCAACAATTTATTTATCTTTTTTTTTCCTTTTAGCCTATAACATCTACTAGCCACAAGCAGAGCCCAACAATCAGTTTTAAACTGTAAAATTTTATATATGGAATGTAGACAGGACAATGAAGCAACAAGAAATTCAGATATTGTTGCAATCGAATAAGCAGATTATGAAGGCGAAATCAAGAAGCCTGCTCACCAAGCAAGCAAATCAAACTCAGAATTCACTTAAATTTCAAGAGTGAATAGTCAAGCATGTTTCAGCACCACGATATGGAAGCCATCACTCTTGAACCGAAACAGTTGACACATGGCATTAAGAGGCAAAGAGAATTTTCAAGGGAAATAACAATTTGCTAATATTTTATATTCTGCAAAAAAAACAGCTCCATGAGTGGCTCCAATTAAGCTGGCCAATACAATCTTCAAAAATCCTTTCCATTAAGTTCATTGTTGTCATCCCCTCTCATCAAGTATCCAAAATATCATAAAATCCTAAAATACAAGCACTTTTAACAGGTTTAATAACAGCAGAGAGAGGAAAATAGTACTGCATTGCACCCTTAACTATATCTCCTCCAAAATCTAATCAAAACAAATTCTCATATATACTCATCGTGTAAAGATTCCTTAATTGGCTTTTCAAGCAAGAAGGCAGCTACAAATGGATTAGATGAGCTGATTGAAAAGCTGACCAGAAAGTTCAATTAAGACAACAAAGGTATAGAACCTAGTGTTTTCTTTTGGAGAGAGCAAGTAAATAGGATTTCCTTCAGCCTGCACACATAATGTTTTTCTTTATTTTACCATGTTACTCTTGCAACGGATGATACCATGCATCTTTCTGTATGTCTTGTTTTTCTGTTTCTAATTTTAAATATAAAACCAACTTGAATTATTCCTCAGAGAGAGAGATTATAAAAAGCCACACTTCTTTGTTTCGTGTTTTTGTGGATAAAAGTGAAAAACAGGAACTAATGCAGATTTGAAAGGAGTACATACAAAGATAAATTCATACTTTAGAGTAATTTCTATGGCGATAAGAAAGAAATGTAAGATCTGCAGATTCTCTGGAGTGCTCATCCATAAACTTGAGGTAATCTTTTAGCAGATTGCTTAAATCTGTCCAAAGTGGAGATACCAAAATCTGGGCCAAGATGTGATGTGAAATAGTTTCCATCAAGATATTCTTCACATCCAACGATTTATACCTAGAAAAACAGAAAACGAGTAAATTTCATACCTAAAACAAAGGATGAGGTGCATATAGACTATAGAGTAAATAGAAAGAGGATGAGGTGCATATAGACTATAGAGTAAATAGAAAATTGTTAGAAAAGTGATTGGAATTCTTGGCTTTAGAAAATAATGCTTTTTGGTATTAACCATAATCCACTTACCTTTCATGCGCCAATGAAAGGGCACCAAAGTGTGAAAACAGATGCAACAGTAAATTTTGTACTGCCACACATTTCTGCCAAAATGAGCGGAAAGACAGATGTTACATACAAGAGTAAGAATCTCCTAGCAAAACAAAGAGCTTTCAAACAGAAAGCAGAAAATTTCACCCAAAAGTTATTTTAATGTCATAAACACTATCAAGCAGCCACCACACAGTGTCTTGTCATTAACAAAGATTAATTTATAGAAAAAATCAAACTAAGCAAACAGTGATTTTTCAATTCAAATTAATTATTCATTAGATGCTGCAAGACAAAGTGAGAAAATTAAACATTTCCTGACCATCGGATGGTTAACCCGAATTCCAAAACCATAATGGCTTCAACAAAATAGCCAAGATTTCTTGTGCGCCAAAATAGCTGAATCCAAAAAGAAATTTGTTTTCCATGAATATTAACCTTAGAGATATAAATATGGTAGTTGCCAGGATAAGAAAATACATCTCAATAACTTGTCAAGTAAAATCTTTTGTAGCAAATCAAGAACCAAAAACAACATGACATAACAGGCAAACTTGCACTCACAAAGTAAAATGTACATTCTTCTGTCCAGTTATGCAGATATCAGCAAGCAGAGGAAACATAAGAGGGAAGACATAGGTAGCAGACTTGAATGGTGAAAGAAAGAAAAAATAAATAAAGCAAATGCACCTGAACCAACACATTGAAAATAATTGATAACAGCTCTTCACCATGCATAGTCTCTTGTGGATCCAAATCCTTGGAAAGTGGAAGGTTTTTACAGTATAACTCAGCCATTTGTACAGCAAAGCCTTCAAGTTCTGGGAATGAACAGCTGAGTTATATAATAGGTCTTTAAATGAAAGAATAACAGCCCAATAGTTGAAAAGGAAAAGCAATGTAATACACCACTGCACAATCCTTTTAGAAGTCATTAAATGAAGGATCAAGACTCACCACCCACAGAAAGCCTGAAAATGTTTCCAATCAGTTCTTGAGTTTTCACAAGTGTTATTGACTGCCCCAGAGCTTTAGTTGGCACTGCTGAAAGGGAGTTTGAGTTTTTCATCAACTTATCCAGAAACTCCATCTTCTTTTCTGGTGATAATACTTGAAGAAAGGTCTCAACATCAGAAGTGAAGCAAGCCAGGTGACCAAACCTGTACTCAGCAAACCAAAAGCTCTATATATTATTAATAAAAAGTTATCATATGTATTTTTCTTCTTCTTAGAACTGAAGGTGCAACCAATAAAAATAGCAAAAATTTCACAGCACCAATACTCTAGATAACTTTTGCAACAACAAACTTAATCAATCAAACAGCAGGAAAAGACAGCACCAGAAACAGGAGTATTAGTAAGTTAATATAGTCGCAACCCTCTCAAAATTGATAAAAACCAATTG